ACTCTTGATTGTCAACTTGATTACATCTGGTATTAACTAAACTCCAAAAATTGAAGGCATACCTGTGAGGGATTTTTGATTAATTTAAAATAGGAAGAGCCACTTTAGTTCAGATCTCGAGACAAGAAGACACATGTGTTTAACCTGGATCTTGAGGCAGGAAGACACACCTTAAATCTGGACCTTGCCTTATGCTTGAAGCCTATGTAAGAACATGGAAGAAGGAAGACTTTGCTCTTTGCATGGAAGAGGAAGCTTCTGCTCTTCACCTGCTTGCCTTTGCCTGGCTACCAAGTCCATTCCTTCACTGGCATTACAGCCTATTTCTTTGGGATTCTGGCATATACTCAAGTCTAACTGAGACACCCAACCTAGTGGACTGAGTAACTACTCGGTCCCTAGAATTTTCATTCACAGGCATCCATTTTTAGATTAACTGGACTGCAACTTGCAAGTCATTCTAATAAATCACACACACACACACACACACACACACACACACACACACACACACACATTCTGTAAGTTCTGTTACTCTAGAGAACTTGCCTATGGACAATACACACCTTGCTGATTATTTCTTTCTCCATCCCATTTAAATGCCTTCTACCTCCCTAGCTTTGTCACCTTGTGTTGACAGGATGCACAGCCACCCTTCCGGCCAGCTGGGCTAGGTTAAAGGCCTCTCAGGAGTCACCACGCTTCACAGGACTTAGCCATGCAGAGCACATCCTCCAGTGTTTACGTGTTGAATAGTTTATGATTTGCTCTACATCTGATCAGGCAGTCAACAACCAAAACTGCTGATCCGTGGAAACTTCACAGCCTTTCCGGGCATAATAATGGCTACAGCTACGGCTTATTCAAAGAGAGAAATAGCCTTTGATGAGCTGTGCAAGGACAAATTAAGACATGAATCTCACCCAATATCTAGAGTGGTCTGCTGCTGCAGGCTGTACCTGAGAAGAAAGGGGGCCAGATGGGGGCTTCAGCCACACCCTCCTAAATAGCAGTGAAGGGCCAGGACTAAAGCCAGGCATTGCCAAGGGCGGTTCATTTCAGGAGCAAAAGAGCATTCTGCAGTGGCGACTCTGCCAACTCTTTGCCTCCAACCTTTGGCACAGGCAAAGAATAGCCCCTCAAATTTCCATTGTTTCTTTAATATTAATGGAGAAATCCTTCATTCTTAAGGGGAGTAATGGTTAATTGGAATAATTCTATATTTTATACCTCTTCTAGTTGGATGTTGTCACGTGTCTAAGTTCAGGGTGATAAGACAGAAGTAGGACTGCCAAGAGAAAGTTCTGAGAAAATGTCTTAATTTTTTTCCTGCTGACTGGAATGTGGATGAGATGATTGTAACTTGGGCAACTGTATTGAACCATAAGGAGGAATCCATTATTCAAAATACATAGAGGATATCATTCAGACAGAAGGAGACTGGGTTATTAAAGTTTGTGGCATCAGGCTGTAGTTGAAAGTGCTATTACATGAGCACTCACTAATATATTTTATATATAATGTTGTCTAGGTACCTTCAAATGTCCTTAATGACCTCTAGCAAGCCAGCTGTTTAGTAAATAAGCCTTACCAATAGATGAAGCAACAACCTTTCCACCATTAGACACAGTGATTTGGGGGCACCGTGAGGCCCTGCTGTCTTTAATAACTTTCTTCCATCCATCAGCTGGTATGGGAAATCTCATTTAGTCCTTTGCTTTCTCTCAGCAATGCTCAGATTTGATCAAACCACAGTCCTGTTTGTAAGGGCCTGCAGTTCATCCGCTCATGGGTTTCTCTTGCTTCTTGCTCTCTACATGTCTGAAAGTCAGCTCCCTTCCCCTATCCTGCTGGAGCAAATTACAGAGTATCACCCACACCCTACTTTGGTACTCCAACCCCTGACCCCAAAGCAAGAAGTCCAGAAGAAAGAGGATGTCCCTGTCTGGATGTCCACAGCCTCTGGAGGTACCTGTCAGATGGTTTCCTGCTTGCTTCACTTCCAGAATTGGGGTACAAGGGGTGAGCTGTCAAGACTTGCTATTGCCTATCCTTGCAAGGTCCCTCACCAAAGACTGGGGCTGATTCTGCTGCCTACACAATCTGACATAAAACCCAGAGGAATCCAATAAATTACAATTTTAACTTGGGCCTCAAGGACACGATGAAGGTGTATTTGTCAAAGTGAAAGAGTAGGATATGTTTTATTTAACATTATCTTGGTTGAATGTATACCTTTAAAATATTTAGACTCATGGTATGTGAGCTTCTGTTTGGGCTTCTACCCAGAATGCTCCATATGTCACTGTCTGGGGCACAGGGGCTTGTTTGCCATGTGTTTATGTGCATATGTGTATATGCAATGTGTGTGTGTGTGTGTGTGTGTGTGTGTGTGTGTGTGTGTAAGACCAACTGAGCTATGACTGGAAGATGACTGGCCAGATGTTCCAAGTGTGTATCCTAAGTACAGACTAAATGAAGCCAGAGGACAGAGGAGAGCCTCTGCTAGAAGTGGAGAGAAGCCAATGTGGTGATCAGGAGAGGATCAGGAGTTACCAGATGTAGGATTCCATGTGAGAGTGATGGAATTCAGGAGCTTCTGGTCACAAAAGCTGAGCACAGTGAACATCAATGCTGAAGACTGCAAGGGCAGAGGCCCCACTGCAGGGTCTATTTACACCAGAGCCTGTCTTCCCATTGTTCTGTTTGCACCTTGTCTGTCTCAATCCAGCAGGCCCAATTGCTGTCCAGTGACCAGGGCTGGAATCAGTGGAAGAACTCCAGAGTACACCCTGATCTTGCTAGGGAATGGGGAGCAGCTGTGTAAGACACCCATTGGGTCAGAGTAACACTGCTATAGAAAATATTTATCAGTGGACCGTTCTATTGATAAACACTGATAGGAAGGAAACTTGGAAGTATGTGAATGAATCTGTGAGATTGCCCCAGTTAAAGACACTGGGGTCTGGAAAGGGTTTCAATCCTAGTAAGTTAACTGAGGCATAGAGGTCACATGAGCTTTGCCAGTATAGCAGGGAGGGAGAGTTGCTAAAGATAAATACCAGCCTTCTACATGCCAGCATCCAGTTATGCCAGCACCATTTGCTGAAGATGCTTTCTTTTTTCCTGCAGATAAATCCATATCCATAGACATGCACAAAACTTAAGTCCAAATGGATCAAAGACCTCAACATAAACCCAGCCACACTGAACCTCTTAGAAGAGAAAGTAGGTGGTACCCTTGAATGAATTGGTACAGGAGACGGCTTCCTGAACAGAAATAACACCAGTAGCACAGACACTGAGATTGACAATTACTAAATGGGACCTTCTGAAACTGAGAAGATTTTGTGAGGCAAATGACACAGTCAACAAGACAAAGCGGCAGCACACAGAATGGGAAAAGATCTTCACCAACCCCACGTCTGACAGAGGGCTGATCTCCAAAATATACAAAGAACTCAAGAATCACCAAAATACCAACTAATCAAATTAAAAAGTGGGTTACAGAACTAAACAGAATTTTCAATGGAGGAATCTAAAATGGTTGAAAGACACATAAGAAAGTATTCAACATCCTTAGCCATCAGGGAAATGCAAATCAAAACAACTCTGAGATACCATCTTACTCTTGTCAGAATGGCTAAAATCAAAAACACCAATGACAGTTTATGCTAGAGGATGTGGAGATAGGGGAACATTTCTCCACTGCTGGGGGGAGGGCAAACTCATACAGTCACTTTGGAAATCAGTATGGTGGTTCCTCAGGAAAATGGGAATCAGTATACTATAAGATCCAAGAATTCCACTCTTGGGTATATACTCAAAAGATGCACATTCATACAACAAAGACATCCGTTCAATCATGTTCATAGCAGCATTATTTGTAGTAGTCAGAAACTGGAAGCAACCTAGATGCCCCTCAACTGAAGAATGGATGGAGAAAATGTGGTACATTTACACAATGGAGTACTACTCAGCAGAAAAAAACAATGGAATCTTAAAATTTGCAGGAAAATGGATGGAACTAGAAGAAACAATCCTGAGTGAGGTAACCCAAATCACAAAAAGACAAAAATGGTATGTACTCACTCATATATGGATTTTAGACATAGAACAAAGGATTACTAGCCTACAATTCATACCACCAGAGAAGCTAGGAAACAAGGAGGACCCTAGGAGAGACATACATGGACCCCCAGAGAAGGGGGAAGGGACAAGATCTCCTGAACTAATTGGGAGCATGGGGGGAGTGGAGAGGTAGCTAGAAGAAAGAGAAGGGGAGAAGAGGAGGGGAGAGGAGGGCATGAGAGAGCAGGAAGATTTAGTCAGGAGAAGAATAGAGGAGAGCAAGAAAAGAGATTCCATAATAGAGGGAGCCATTACAGATTTACAGAGAATTCTGGCACTAGGGAAATGTCCAGATCTAAAAGGTTGACCCCAATTAACAATCTAAGCAATAGTTGAGAGGCTATCTTAAATGCCCTTCCCCAATACTGAGATTGATGACTACATTATATGCCATCCTAGAACCTTCATCCAGTAGCTGTTAGAAGCAGAAGCAGACCCCCACAGCTAAACACTGAGTTGAACTCTGGAATCCAGTTGCAGAGAGAGAGGAGTGATGAGCAAAGGGGTCAAGACCAGGCTGGAGAACCCCAGAGAAACAGCTGACCTGAACAAGGGGTTGCTCATGGACCCCAGGCTGATAGCTGGGAACCCAGCATAGGACTGTTCTAGACCCCCTAAACGAGAGTATCAGTTTGGAGGTTTCTTGTAGTAGATCAGTATTTATCCCTAGTATACGAATGGACTTTGGGAGCCCATTCCACATAGAGGGATACTCTCTCAGCCTAGACACACGGGGAGGGTCTAGTCCCTGCTCCTAATGATATGGCAGACTCTGAAGATCCCTCATGGAATGCCTCACCCTCCATTAGGAACAGAAAGGGGTTGGGATAGAGGATGGGGGTCAGGGGAGGAGGGGAAGGAGACGGAACTGGGGTTGACATGCAAAAGAAACTTGTTTCTAGTTTAAAATTGGTCTAATTACAATTATAAAAATAAAATAAAAAATAAAGATAAATACCAGATTCAAGGCAATGGCAGCTAGAGGTGGGTTATGGCCATGGATGTTGTTCCTAAACCTGAGTCTGTTGTTACTCGTAGAATATCGTCAGGTGACTGGATGGCACACACTTCATGCTTATTTAAAAATATCTTTTAATGTCAGGCTGGAGGGATGGCTCAGCCGTTAAAGGCTAGGCTCACAACCAAAAATATCTTTTAATGTCACCCCTAGTTGTCAACTACATTGTGGTCATGACTTGCTTTGAATCTGGAAGGAGAGGGGAGAATCTGAGAGCTATAGTCTTGGGAACCCTGTCAGAGTGAAGGAGTTGGCAACACGAAGGGCACATGGTCACTGGCTTCCCTGTCCTCTTTTGGAGTCACACTCCACTGTACAGAGCCTTGGGAGCCTCTGCCCAGATGGTGTTGATCCACTTCTAGGGCTGGTATTTGGAACATACCTCTCTGCAATGTACTCTCCAGTGTGACCAGTGACAAAAGAAGGCATGTATTTGTGGGGCCTATGGACCTGGCAAAAGAAGTGTCCAACAGGTGAGCTTCTCATGGCGTGGTACAGAATAGAAAGGATGGACCATGAGCCACCACATCATGAGGGAGACAAAGAATTCTGAGAAGTCCTCAGTTGGAAATGACTTTTCCAAGTCGATGTGAAGGTAAATCTCCCGATGCAAGGCTATGATATGTTAGCCTCCTTAATATTTTCCCATACTGAGAAGTAAAAGGACATGGATTTTCATTTGTCTTCTTGCCCTGGGTGTCACAATCATTTATTATTGCTATAAAAGGAGCACGGGAGGCCTTTGGGTCCAGGTACGTCCTGTAGGTGTAGAACTGCTGTTTTCGGGCCCAACGTGACAAGTGTACACAATGCATACCGAGGAGTCCCTCCATAGCCCGTTCAGGGGCTGGGTGGGAGAGAAGTGCTTCAGCCGCCAGAGCACCAGGACGCGAGGGCATTGTGCCAGGGCCTTTGGCATCCTTTCTCCACGGTAAGCACCGCAGTTGCTGCTGGACCACCACATCCCCACAGCGAACCAGTGTATTTTGAAGCATGTGTGTCGGGGATAGGCAGCACCTGCTAGTGCTGACCTGTGCAGACCTTCCTGCTCTTCCACGAGCCTGTGAGAAGTGCTACCTGGCTTTTCCTCACATTTAGCCTTTGAGGAGAGGCAAGGCAGGTCCCATTATTTCATCTACAGACAGGAAAAGGCAGGCTTAGGGAGACAAAAGAATTCCAAGATCCCCCAGCAAGTAGAAGGGTCTGGGTGGGAACCCCAGTCGTCTAATTCCCTTTTCAGTGTCTCGTCGCTCCACATAGCCCCATCTAGTTGGAGAACAGAAATGTGGAAATAAACTCCCAGCCTCCCGTTTTTTGAAAGCGCCTGAGGCCTGTGCCTGGTCAAAGGTTGACATATCTATTTGTGTGGCTTATTTAGCTCTGGTTGGCTAATGATACTTAATCACACGTACCTTGCAGTTGGTGGGGAGAAATGCAGAGGGATCAACTAGAAACATGTAATTTTCTAACATCCCCAAGCTCCCACAGAGCACAAATGATCCATTACCAAAGATTTCAGAAACCAGACATAAAAATTAAAGTTATGGAAACTGCTAAAACTGTCAGGTGGTGCACAGGACTATGAAGAGCCTTTTTGTCAGGTGGTTTATGAATCTGATAACCCAAGCAAATTTGGAGACCCACTGTGTGAAAGTTACATGCACTAAATACATCACTAGTCAAAAAAATACATCACTAGTCAGAGGGGCTTTTTCTCAGGTTAAACTAGCACCTTAGATGTCTCCAGAGAATGAGAAGATGAAGCCTTATGTGGTCCTCACAGGGAACTTCCCTCTGATTGGGCTGTCCAGTTACTGTGGCAGAGTGCCTATCCTGTGTAACAAACCAATTTCTCCCTTTAGTTACTAAAACTGTAACAACCTGAAAGCCAGAGATTAAGAGCACTTGCTGCTCTTCCAGGGGACTGGGTTGCATTCCCAGCTCACAACCATCTGTAACTCCAGTTCCAGGACATCAGAAACCCTCTTCTGGTTTCCAAGAGCACTTCATGCATTTGCTACACAGACATACAGGAGGCAAACACCTATGCACATTAAAAACAAAAAAAAACCAGCATAGTAACAACCTCCTGTATTGCTAGTAATGTTTTGTGGAGATGTGAACAGACATGTATTTATTCCAGATAGGGCACCAAGGACAGACCAAAGTCATGATTCTATTCAAGTCCATTTTGATAAGCCATTGAATCTATTGAGTTTACATACAGGAGAATGGATGAGGAGTTATTTACATGAGTGTGCCCCAAACAGTTTCATTATTGAAAAGTTCAACTCTAACACTGGTGGTAACATCTCAAAGGCCACCTTCCCCTTCAAAGACACATCCTGGGAGAGCAGACTCGATGTGCAGGATTTTGTTGTCTCACTCAGGTTCCAGTGCATTGAGGAACCACAAGGGAGGTTTCCCAGTTACCACTTTTCAAAAAATAGCTCCCCATGTGCTGGCTGTCTATGAGCTAGAAGGATAAAATGCTCCCTACACACACACACACACACACACACACACACACACACACACACACACACAGCTTGCATTAGTATGACACAGGGAAAGAAGAAAGCAAGCACTCTCAGTTATTAGGAGGAGAACAGAAAGTGCATAGTAGTCACCCATTTACAGCAGTATTTCAATCTACCTGGGCACATGCTGCCATCCTTTCCATCTTAGAGACAGCAGACAGTCCTGAGAAGGGTCTGGTTTTGTTCCCTGGTTCTCCCACCCACTGTTATTCATTGGTATTGCTTACTTTCCTCACAGCTGTGACACAACACCTTACAAAAAAGCAGCTTCAGAAAGAGAGGGTCTGTTTCAGCTTACAGCTTGAAAGGATGAAGGACATCCTGGTGCAGAAGGCATGGTACTGGGAAGCAGGGGTCACATGGATCCACACCTGGTAGGGGAGGCAGGGCAGCTGTGAATCAGGAGTCCCATGGATCCACAGTCAGGAAGCAGAGAGTGATGAATGATTGTACTCAGGCAACTTTCTTCTTGTTTTCAGTCCAAGATCCCAGCCCATAGGGTGTTGCCACCCACAATTAGGGTAAGTCTTCTCGCCTCAATTTAACTCAATCTAGAAACTCCCTCCAGACTTGTCCAGAAGTCTGTTTCCATGGTGATTTCAAACCTCATAAAGCTAACAATTGGATCAACCACCAGCCCATTGCTTCCTGGAAGTATTTAATAGTCCATGGCCTTTTATCAGCTACTGATACATTAGATAAACTCTACTTACTACTTAGTCATGTAGAGATGAGAAATATCAGTAAATGTTTTGCAGAAGTGACATTATTTTGAGAGGACAGAAATGACATGTGTGACACATTAACACCAGATGGCATGTTAGTGGCTTATTAGGAAGATCAGGCAACTCCAATGATTGGTTATGCTCCATTCTTGGATTTTGGTTAAAAAAAAATCTGGTTGTTTGTATGTTTTCAGGATTGACCATTTGGTACTGATAACCAATTGATGTGCCCTTCCCTGAAGAGGATGTTGTCTCCCACTCAGTGTTTCCTGGTTGCCTATAGCTCTTTGTGTAGGGTTGAGGTCTTGATTCACATTGGCAAATCTATTGATGCTGTCCTTGTTCAGCTTATGTTTTGGCAGTCATGTATGTGAGACTTTATGGATGCAGCATCTGACATTCCTAGAAGACACAATCTCACAAGAGAATTCTCTGATATAATGGATTTTTCTGTAAAGATGGTTTTGTAGTCTTTCAGTCCCCTCTTGCTCAATGATCCCTGAGCCTTAAAAACAAGAGTTGTATTGTAGGTGTATCCAATGGGACTGGGAACTACAATTCTGTCTTGATTTGTTGCGATTTTCAGTAATGGTCTGTGTCTATTGTAAAGAGAAACTTTCCTAATGAGGGCTGAGGACTACACTTATCTTTTAGTACAAAGACAAATATTTAGAGTGTATTTATGGAGTATGCTGATTTAGTAATGTGGTGGTGTAGGCTTTCCTCCAAAATCCATGACTTGACTAGCCCTGGGTAGTAGGCTTGATTTCCATTTTTTGTTGGATCGTCTTGGACTCTTGGAGGGAGTATTGTCAACCCATATGGGAAATTTCTATTTAATTATATGTATGTTTATATACAGAATTACATATATTTAGGGATTTTAGATAGTTGATGGTATAATTCCTTTTGGCTTTTTCAGACTTCCTTATCTTCCTCTGTCCTCCATTTTCCCCTCCTCCATCCTTCTTGTGTGTGTTTCTCACTCTCTCCACTCTAGAGCCCTCTGTCTTTTCTATTTCCTTGGTCAGATCACTTGTTCCCTCAGATTCCTCTCTATTCCATGTCCCAGAAATGATCTCTTTTTATATTCCTGTTCTGTACTTACTGAAGAATATGTGCTCACATCTGAAGATCTGGAGCCAGAAGCCTGCACTGAGAAAGAACATGAGGTCTTTCTTTCTGGGTTTAGGTTACCTCATACACATGATCTTTTCCAGCTCCATCCATTTACCTGCAAAGTTCATGATTTCTTTTTCATTTACATCAGAATAGTGTCCTATAGTGTACATGTACCACATTTTCATTACCCATTTGTCAGTTGAAGGACATTTGGATCATTTCTATTTCCTAACTTGTGAACAGAGCAGCAGTGAATATAGCTGAGCCAGTATCACTGAGTGGTGTAAGATGCTGATTCCTTTGGGCATATGCCAAAGAGTGGTATGGCTGGGCCATACGGTAGATTTACTTTCAGATTTTTGAGAATTCCCCACACTGATTTCCAGAATAGCTAGATAAATTTACAATCCCACCAACAGTGAATGGGGCCTTACCTTTTCCCAACACCCCCTCTAGCATCTGTTGTAGGTTGCTTTATTGATCTTTATCAGTTTGACTAGAGTAATATAAAATATCAAAGTTTCTTTGATTTGCATTTCCCTCATTGATAGGAGAAAAGAACATATTTTTGGGGGGATTTTTCTTAGTCATTTTTTTCTTCTTTTGAGAACTCTCTATTCAGGTCCCAGGCACATTTTTTTTAATTCAAATGGGTCAATCATTTGTTTGTTTTGATTCTTTTTTGGGTTCTTTATATGTTATGGATATTAATCTTCTGACAAAATTTTCTCCAGTTCTGAGGGCTGCTTCTTCACCTGGATGATTGGTTCTTTATCTGTGCAGAAGCGTTTGGTTTTATGAAGATCCTCTTGCTAATTGTATGTCTTAATTCTTGGATAAGTAGAGTCCTCTTTGGAAAATTCTTTTCCTACACCTATATCCTGTAGAATACCACCCATGTTTTTCCCCAGCAGGTTCAGGTTTCATATTTAGGCCTCTGGTCTCATTTGGAATTAATTTTGTGCAAGACAATAGATACAGATCTAACTTCATTCTTCTCTCTGTGTACATCCAATTTCCCCAGCACCATTTGTTGAAGATGCTGTCTTTTCCCCTGCATATGGCTTTGGAATTTTTGTCAAATATTAAATGGCTTAAGTTACAAATACTCATGTTTGGGTCATCAAGTTTATTACATTGATCTACACATCTGTTTTGGTGTCAACACCATATTGTTTTTATTGCTATGGCCTTTTATTATATTCCTCCAGTATTATTCTTTTTGCTAGAATTGCTTTGATTAGCCCAGATCTTTTTTGCCTCCATATGCATTTTAAGATAGTTTTCTTTTTTCTACTTCTGTGAAAAATAAGACAGGAGTTTTGGTTGGGATTGCATTGGATCTGTAAATAGCTTTAAGTATAAAATGATAATTTTTTACAACATTAATTCTACCACTCAATGAGCATGGGGTAACTTTCCATTTTCTAATGTCTTTCTCTCTCTTTCTTGAGAGGTTTGGTGTTTTTATTATAGATGCCTTTAATTTCCTTGATTAGGTTTATTACTATATTTTTGAGGCTATTTTGAATAGGAGTATGTACAGGATCTCCTCTGCATTCTCTGTTGTTGGTGTATAGAAAATCTATTGATTTGGGCAATTGATTTCTGTATCCTGACATGTTGCTTAATTTGTGTATCATTTCAAGAAGCTATCGGGTAAAATTTTTGGAATCTCTAATGTATACTATTCTGCTATCTGCAAATGGGGATAGTTTGACCTATTTTCCTATTTGTATCGTTTTAATTTCCTTCTTTTGCCTTATTGCTCCTGCTAGTACTTCAAACACAATATTGAAAAGGAACAGGGAGAGTGGACAACTGTTTCCTTCCTGACTTCAGTGAGGTTGCTTCAAGGTCTTCTCCATTTAAGATGGTGTTGGCTGTGAACTTCTCATACACAGCCTCTCTTATGTTGAGTATGTTCCCTCTAGTCAAAGTCTCAGTGACTTTTACCATGAATACATGTTGGATTTTTGCAAAAGACTTTTTTCTGCATCTATTGAGATGATCATGTCCCCAAGTTTGTCCCCAGAAGACATCTATTTCAGTGAAAAAGCTGTTTGTCATGATCTAGGCTTGAATCCCAACTCTAAGTCTATATAAACATAAACAATGTTAAGTATAGCTTAAATATATGCAGAGTTTCTGTGAGTGTAATATAAATAGAGAGAAGATTATTTTTACTTTGTTGGGAGTTAACCAAAATTTGTTAGCCATGTATCTTAGTCACTATTCTATTGCTGTAAAGAGACACCATGACCACAGCAACTCTCATAAGAGAAAGCATTTAACTGGAGTCCGGCTCATAGTTTCAAAGGTCTGGCCCTTTATAACTATGGCAGGAGCATGGAGGAACTCATGGTGTTGGAGCAGTAGCTGAAAACTGCACCCTAATCCTCAGGCCAAGAGAGTAACACTGGGCCTTGTGTGGACTACTGAAACCCCAAAGCCCACTCCCAGTGATAACCTTCCTCCAACAAGGTCACACCCCCTAATCTCCTAATCTCATGTGGGATCCTGGACTTGCTGGCACTATGGCCCCCTCCCCCATCAATTGACTCAGCTAGAGAAATCATTACAGTTCTACTCACCAACTCAGACTTTTGACTTCATTCTTTCTTCAAATATTGTCATGTTTGGATCCTAGAATGCATTGTTATTTTGTTATAAATTTCCTTCATTTTATTTATTCTTTAAACAAAAGTTATGACACTGCATTGCTTAAAAATATATTACATGTGAAGGCAAGGTATGCCATCTGTGTGTGACTTTAATCAGAAAATAGTAAAGGAGGCACTATCAAACACTTTAAAAGGTGACGTGTCTTATAAAGACAGGATATACTAACTCTCAAAGGTAGAAGCAGAGCAGCTGGAGTGGAAGAAAGACTACTTATCCCATGAACTTGCTCCCAAGGTCATTGGTAGAAAGAAAGATGGACTTAATACCCAAGGACAGACGCCTGGTTTGCTAGAAAGTAGATGAGATTGAGACTTTCATAGGGCACTAATAAAGAAGGTGATCTCAGGCTTTATGGCTTTAGAAAGACCTTTCCTTGTTAATTTTTGCTCTACTCTGCTCTAGAGTTTAGTCATGTATTTATGACCTCCTCAGATTATTTCAGTCAATGGCCTTGAAGCTGGATGTGTGAGGCAGTTGTGCTATGCTCAATTCTTAACCTCTGGCTTGCCTTCAATTTTGGCCACTGTTCAATTGCTGTGAAGAGACACAATGAACAAGGTAACTCTTATAAAAGAAAGCATTTAATTGCTTACAGTTTCAGAGATTTAGTCCATTATTATCACGGCAGGGAGCATGGTAGCAATGCATGGACTGGAGCAGTAGCTGAGAGCTACATCCTATCTGCAGGCTGGGAGAGTAACACTAGGTCTGGGGTGGGCTTCTGAAACCTCAAAGCCCACCCCCAGTGACACACTTCCTAAAACAAGGCCACACCTATTAACATTTCTCAAATAGGTTCACTCCCTGATGACTAAGCATTCAAATATACGGGCCTATGGAGGTCATTCTTATTCAAACTGCCACACTGGGTTTGGTCTTACCAACTCTACTGGTGCTTGCCTTCACCAAAGTCCAACTTCTGAATATTTTGACATCGTCTTCTGCATAAAAGGAAACTTAAATAAATCCTTTAGGAGACAGATGATCAGTGCTATCTCTAGTATTGACCAGAGGAAACAATTTGGTTGCTTCCATTGGTAAAGAGGGAACCCCAGGCAATCTGAGTCCTCACATGCCTCCCTTGCCTGATGAGACTCTGTCATGATGGACAGCAGAAAGAAGCTGGTCAATGTGCTCACCCAGCCCCTTTTCATCAGTGTGAGTCCAAGGGGAACATTTTGCTCTGCTCTCCCTCCATTCTCATCCTGGCCCGGCAGAGCTGTTAATCTTTTGCAGATAGTAAATCTGCTATTTGACTTTCCTGACGCCTCCTTTCTCCATCTCTGTGGTGCTGATAGAGGCCGTAAACTAACCAGTTGGCATTTTAAAAGCACCCTTTTTTCTTACATCCTAAATTATATCTTTTCTGAAATGGATCTATCTTTCTTGGCTATAGAAGCTTTCCTTTTCAAAACTTTGCTGTCACATACATAGGTATATTTTAGCCCACTGAGAGACAGTGGCACAGTCAGACCTTTTCATCACTGTCACCAAACACCTTAGGAAAACACCTTAGGAGGAGGAGTCACTTTGGCTGACAGTTCTGAGTGTTTCAGGGTATGGTTTGCTCTGTTGTCTTAAGGTTATAAAAGGCCAGAACACCCTGTGTAAAGGAATCTCCAAGGAAAGCTGCTCACCACAGGGAAGCCAGGAATCAGAGAGCTAGGAGAAGTGGCCAGGACAAGACACCCTTTAAAATCACATCCCAAGTGACTTCTTTCCTCCAATGAAGCCATGCATCCCAATTCCCACCAACTCCCAATAATGTCTCAATGAGGGTCCATTCATGGATTAGTCCATGGGTGAAGTCCAGGTCTGTAACATCCAATCCCTTCACCAAAGCCTTACCTCTGAACCTTGTGATGAGGACTATACATTCACCACACGAGCCTTCAGGGGCATTTCATACCCCAAACACAACCCTTGTCTTTGCATTCACTCTACCATTTCAGGACAAGAGCCTCCTGATGTCTTTTAAGCCATACAAATACTTGGACTTAAGAACATGCCTTTTGGGGGGATGAAGAGAAACCATCCGCAGCCATTGATGAAAGTATCGCGGCAAAATATAAAGGAAATGCTTTCCATGCATGATTCTGCTCAAAGCAACAGACACAGAGAAAAGTTTCATCTTTAGATGTCACCTTCAGTTACTGGCCATTTCTCCTTTGGTGACAGGGCACTGCCCCAGTGAAACAAAGGAGAGATCCTGTGTGGCCATGTCTCACCCTATGACTTTGGACACCTCATTTAAGCAAGCATTCAGATTCCCTCCACAGTGTCCAGTTTGGACTTGTGACTTGAGGCATGCACAGTAGGTATCACTTGGAGCTGATCAGCGTCCCTGCCACTACCCAGCTTACTCCGGCCTCTGAGGCTTCGCTGGCTCCTCCCCCATCGGTGTTTCTGCAGGATGCCTCTGCTGCCCTTCGATAAATTGCATCTTTTGCTTAACATAGCAAGAGATCCCTTCTATCACTTGCAACCAGAAGAATGTGAACTAACATAGGGACCACACAGAGAGTATCAATGTCATGCCACAATTAATAGCAGGGGAAGGAAGACAGAAAGTCCACGGAGAAGACATATGGGTCTACTGGTGACCTTGGCTCTCAAGTTAAAAATGAGGAACCCAATCTGACTGATAGGAATGTGAGACTGGGGGAAGTGGCAGGGCCTATTTGAAAACAGTGTGTCTACATATATGTATGATGCTTGGTGACATCACATGGAAGTGTACACAAAGCACAGAGGGAAGCATTATGATAGGGGCACATAGAGCAGAAGAGTAATACAGGTCTTAACCAGCCACTCGAAAGTTGAAACAAAACAGAAAAGCCATGTGGCCTCCCCATGAGATAGTGCTGTCTTTTCCTGGTAACCCCAAATTCTGTTTGCTCTCAGAAGCAAATCGAGAACAGCATATTAACAAGGGTTCAACTTTACATTCTCATGGACACCACCAACTGCCTAATGTTGTCTCCAGCATGCAGGCTTACTTTCCAATGCCATTTATTTGTTGTAAATGCACCAGACAAGCTGCTTTGTGGCCACTTCTGGAGTCACTGGCTCCAGCAGCGGCAGGGAGGGGAGGATGAAGGAGACCCCACATCCTGCAATGACTTGGGATGCACCTTTGCAGTGTGAAGGCAGCATGGTTCTCCATGGCTAATGGTACAGAGTCCTATCCAGGAGAACACTGCTGCCTATTTTCCAGGTCACCAAAAAGAGTTAACTTTTCTCCCAATAACTCAGTGCAATGGAGTGCCAATAAGTAAGTGTTGTGGCAGTATTTATGATTTGCTAGGCGATCCATTTGTGTTTGTACGTTTACTGTTTCCAGTTCGATAGGTGATAATTCTGATTGGATTTATGCATCCAATAATCAACTGAGAAATACAGGTGATTCAATAAGATGCATTATACAGCAGCATCCATTTCAGTAAGTAATGGCTTTGGGCTGCTGCAGACTACAAGGGAATTCATCACATTTTAAAAAAGAGGTCTATATCAAATTTTTAGGACAGAGTGTTTATCTCAGAACAAAGACAAACTATTGCCAGTAACGCAAGCTGGCTAGGTTAATCTAGTTTGCTGTAATGCAGTCATTTTGAAGTCTAATTCATGGGTGTGTTGGTAAAATCTACAGTGAAATGAAGATGCTCATACCCTTTGATCAAATGAGGGACCGACCGATGAGTGCAGATGGGCTGTTCGGTATTGCCCTCACATCCTGACTACTCGTACTTTACATAACTGAGGGGAAATAAGCAGATACAGTAGCAGCCATAGTTGGTTAATGGAATGCTCATTTTGTAAGCATTGGTATGAGAAGAAAGCTACAAGAGAACCTTTACCACCTGACTTCGGTAGGCATGACAATGGAACCTTTTCTAGAATGTGCAACCTCATGATTCCCTGAAAACAGCCTCATTGAGTTCAGAGCTGCTTCTTCCTTGAATAGAAATCATCACTGCTGGATCCTCACAAAAGTGCCAATGACATTTTCAGAGAAGTGTAAGGCAGATTCAAGTTTTCAAAGTCTTTCTCTTCTTGGTTATCTTGGCACTTGCACAATAGCAAACCTCTGCACTTTGGAGTTCTTACCCACTTTTCTGCAAGAGAACTCCAAGATATTAATAGTTATGTGTGCATCAAACATGTCAAAGAGCTTTGCATGTTAAGTCATTTAATCCTCAAGGTAGCCCCCACTATTGGATGATATTATTAGTACTCCCACTTTACACCTGAGAGGAAAACTGACTTGCCTAAGGTCTCACAAACAGGGGTGGAGCTATACATTGACCAAATAACTCACAGAGTAGCTATTGGGATGTTTAAAACATACATCAGAGAAAAAAAGCTCTGCACAACAGAATAAATATCATGTAGTTATACATAGGTGACATTCAGTGTCCTCAGATTCATAAGAACAGAGGTAGAAGAACAGCTTCCTTCTGTCTTAGACTGTGGTGCATTCTGTGATAATAAAAAGCACTGGAAAACCTTCAATTCATTGGGAAAAAAGAAAATAATCAACCGTGCTAAAGAGCTAGAAACATTACCCCAAAACAAAACAGAGGAAAAACAAAAGGACGAGTGGCAACTGGATCATTCAGCAAGGTCAAATTCAAGTTGAAAGGGATTAAATGAAGGAAAATGACAAAAGCAGCAAATTAGAAAAAGCTTTAAGCACACTGATCTATAAGCCTTGGAATACTCAAGACATATTGATTTGGAGCTATTCAGATTTGAATAGATTCAAGAGATTGAGATGGGAGGTGGATTTTTGGCAAAAAGAAATGATACAGTTAGTGGTCACAAAGGGAAATAGCAAGCCATTTTGACAAAAACTGAGTTGTGTTTGTGTGGAGGGAAGCTGAGGATGAAATAAGATTGTAATGATGGAGTAGTTTGGCTATTAGAAAAGGACATCTAGGTCTCACCCCCAGGAAAGGTGATGAAGAACAGGAGAGATGTGATCCAAGATGCTATCTGAGGAGATCATCAGATCACAGCTCTCAAGGCTGATTGGGGAAGAAGGGAGTGTCAGCAGAGCTGGCCAAATGGGTCCTCACGTCCTGAACCACTACACATTCTTAGGTCATCCTCATGATATAAGATGAGACCCTGACAAAGGAGGGTTCGTAAGTTGAACCCAATGATGTATATTGTATTGCCTTCTGAAAATGGAAGTGCTATAACTATGCGGTGTCCTATTAATTATTCTCATTTGTTGTATAGTATTACATTTAAATACTCAGAGTTCTAAATTATGATCATAAATTGATGTCTGTAATTCTTATCCCGAGGTAATTGGAGGCTTTGAAGTTGATCAAAGTGAATTCTTTCACCAAGGAGCTGAGAACAGCCATGGTATGAGCAATTACAGAACCTATGCAAGCATATTTACTTTCTCTCTTTGCTTTGAACTGCATCCACTTTTCTAAGTAGAGTTTGATCTGGGGACCATGGAAAAGCCAGAATGATATTGTCTGTTATAGGAGAATCTGTCTTTTCAATGATATTAAATTAGTTTTATACTTTTAAGACAGTTTTGATAACTTAAAATTTTGAGGAAATGGGAGTCTTCTCTATGTGGTTCTTAGAATATGCAATGGAGTAAACTGAAGAGAATGGATTTCCCTGGTTGTTGGAATTGCTGTTAGTCTGCAGTCCCCAGTCACCCGCACCAGTACAAGAGAGCCAAGATACAGATAATCCCATAGCTGACCAGGGAAGAACACATTGCTCTTTAGTTTGAGACTGCCTTCAATTAGCTTTTCCCAGAAGCCATGCCTTCCTAATTGTGTGCTCTCTAAGCTGGTGTTCAGAGCAGTTGACTGTCCTTGGCCACACTAATTTGTAATGGGAGAAATGGCCCAGGTATGCTGATGGGTAGTGGATCACCAACCTGAGATGAACCAGTAGCAGTAGGAAATTACTAGTGGGTAATGTATAGACAGATCATTGAGGTTTGTGTGTTAAGAGCTAACTGTACAATAATTTTTATGACTGTGTGTGTGTGTGTGTGTGTGTGTGTGAGAGAGAGAGAGAGA